GATAGATAGATAGATAGATAGATAGATAGATAGATAGATAGATAGATTGATTGATTGATTGATTGATTTGTCCCCATTGGGAAATTGGTTTGCAGTATTGCCAGCAGCACTTATGGGGGCCGTAATGGGGTAGAGGCAGGGCCGCCGACTCTGGACCCAAAAGTCACAGGTTCGATCCCCAGTCATTGCACATCTTGTGGTGTCTCTGAGCAGGACACCCTATCCCCAATTCTTCCCTGGGCACCTTCAATAGCCGCCCACTGAACCACCTGTGGGGTGGATGGGTTAAATGCAGAGGGCCAATTTTGCCATTGTACGGTAACGTATAATGATAACAGCACATAATACATTATTATTATTATTTACATAAATGATATACGTATACAAACATGACATTGACATCCATCATTGCAGCAAAGACGTTTAAGCTCAGTAATTTATACCTTGTTATTGTTTAATGATTTAATCTCTCATGGTATGAAAGAAAAGTTGTGTCCTGTTTCTTGACAATAAAGAAAGGCAGTACCTTGAGTACAACTCAAATGAGGATCTTAGTGGATGTGTATTGTCTGCTATAATCGTGTTTACCTTCCTCATAACTCTGCCCATGCATATTTTTTCCATACTCGGCAGAGTGGTCCTTAACAGTTTGCTGACTGTGCTTTCTATACTTCTCAAGGATTTCTTCTGAGCCTCTGTAGCATTGCCAAACCAACAGATGTTACAAAAGGTTAAAATACCCCAAATAAAAGCAGAATAAAACATTAAAAGCATTGAGTTATTGACTCTAAAAGAGCCCAGTTTCTTTAGAAAATACATCCTCTGCTGAGCCTTGGTGCTAATAAGGTCAACCCATGAGTCCCACTTTAAGTGACAGTCCAGAACCACGTCCAGATACTTGTAGCAAGAGACAGTTTCAGGCTGCTCTCCATTGATGGTGGTTGGAGAGAATGACTGAAGCTTCCTGAAGTCAGTAATCTTTTTTATTTGTGTGTGTTGAGAATTAATTTAGATTTTTTCCACCAATTAATGAAGAAGTCCAAAACTGGTCCTTGCTCCTCTTCCTTGTTAAAAGGCTTACCGTGCCATCAGCATATTTAATTAAATGTCTATTTGGGTAAGTATTCTGCAGGAGTTTGTGTTGGGAATAAATAACAGTGGAGATAAAACACAGCCTTGAGGAGCACCAGTGCTGGTAGTTGTTTTGTCAGAGAGTGTTGAACCCACTCTGACGTGCTGGACCCTACCTCTTAAAAAGTCTGTCATCCATAAAATCAAGCTATGTGAGATTAAAAACTATTTTGTTAATATCTCTGTCAAAACCCGTGGCTGAATGGTATTAAAAGCTGATGAGAAATCCACAAATAAAAAAATAACTTTATGCATCGGTAATTACTTGCACAAACACTCATGATTTGGATTGGGGATATTTTCATCTATTAATTTCTAAGACATTGTAAAAACCCACAGTTTTTCACATTAGTTGCAGTATACCTTGAGGCTATTGATTTATTTACTTCATCAGCAGCATTCATTAGTCTGCTCGTCAGTGATATCTTAGAGAATATAACACGATTTGAACATATTTTTTACATTTTAATTGTCTTGGTTCAAACGTGATTTCATCAGAAGATTAGCAAATTAAACATGTTCTTATTTACACAGTGTTCTGTTTTTGATGTTATGAAGGACAAGTCTAAATCAGACAGAAACGCAGCTCGTTAGGGTTTAGTATAATTACTGTATGGCCACTTTTGTTGCACATTCACTTAGTTTTTCTCCCCCCCCCCCCCCCCTTCTTTTTCTTTCAAATTCCCAAATCTACTTGAACAAGTCATCTGACAAAACCTCCAATCATGCACAAAAATGGTTTTCACTGTTATTTCATCCATCCTTTACTTGTGCGTTCAAAGAGAAGAGTTAGAAAAACCACATCTTGTTTATCTCCAGGTTGCTGCCAGCATGTTCTCTTCCTTCCTCCAACCCTGCACACTGTAGCAGGTCCTCCATTTTGTTTTACATTTACAAACTGACCAACATGGCAACAATTAATTCTAACTGGCTGCCTAATCGGACTGCGCTCTAACCGCTATCCTGGGAACACAGAGCCTCGGCTAGCCGTGAGGTGGTGGCCGACTGCAGCTCTAAACCACTAACCCAACAGATGCTCAGCTGGCTGCACCTGCCAGCCGTAGTGTTTACCACCTGCATCTAATCTCTGGATGGTGTTTAAAACTACGGCAATAAACCATGTAATCACTTGTAGCCAGAAATGAAAATAATGAAAATCTAAACTTTTTGTCTCAATGCTGTTTCCAAGCAGAAATAAGTGGCTACCAAGAAACTGCAATAACCTTAGGTTCCCCTCGGACTACTTTTACATTTGGCAGCTTGACACTGACAAAATGTGTCTTCTCCTGCAGTTTGGGTAACCTTCATGAGTCAAAGGGGGACTGAGCTGAATTTTTTTGGGGAAGTACAATTCCTCTCTCCTCCATTGCTGCAATATGTTGCTACATGTGGATTTGGCTTTCTGTTTAGTACAGTTATTTTTGTCTTTAAACAATTTGATTATTATAAAATTCAACAACAACTATATATAATAAAGTCCGTGCTCAGGTGATCCTCACTAAAGTCAAACTGTAGCATATAGCCTCCCTTAGATCCATCTATCATCCATCCATTATCTTATACCCATTTCTTCCTATTTGGGTTGCTGAGGTCACTGATGCTTATATCCAGCTGTCACTATGCGAGAGGCAGAGGACACCCTGGACAGGTCTCCAGTCCATCACAGGGACACATAGAGACAAACAACCATTCACTCTCTCACTCACACCCAGGGACAATTTAGAGTTACCAATCAGCCTAACATGCATGTTTTTGGTCTGTGGGAGGAAACCGGAGTACCTGGAGAAAACGCATGCATGCACGGAGAGAACATACAATCTCCACCCAGAAGGTATTCAGTCCAAGATTCAATCCAGCAACCTTCTCGCTGAGAGGCGGCTGCTCTACCAGCTGCGCCACTGTGCCACCCCACTTCATAGATGTTAGTCGTTTTTATTTATGCAGGCCTGGTCCACCAAGGGCTCTTTGTGAGTCAGAAAAGTTGATTTTAAAAATACTTATCTATTTGTAAACCATTGAAAAAGTCCATTGTAAAGAATTTATGCTACTAATGTCAAGATTTGTAGGCTTTCTGACACTTAAATGTGATATTACCTGCTGCACATAAAGCTCAACAGCACATATAATTTGATTACTTATAGGAAAGGTAGATGAAAAATGTCATTGCTGTTTTTTTTGTATTTTTTTGTATGAAACATCATGTGTCAGTGTTTTATTTACAACTCACATCCACTGCCATCATATTACCGCAATCCAGCCTACTTGTTAGTTTGGTATAAAAATGTGCAGTAAAGTGACAGGTTGCTGTGAGAAAAGTGTAAGAGGGTTTTCAGGTTTGTCCAATTATGTCCACAGGAGTATTACACTGACTGTTGGGTAAACCTAATCATGCACATGTCATATTTTCACCTGCTTCCATCAGTATGTTTACACAACCACTGCAACACTTGGCACAATAAATATATACGAGTTGTCATTGCTGGATGGCATGTTGTCAGACTTTAGTAACAAACTTTGCATGAGCAGCAAATATTGTGCATGCCGTGGACCATAATTTCACAGGCGTTCCTGAATGAAGTGTGAGGATTAAAACAAATGTGACCAATGTCTCAGTGACTGAACGCTGGCGCCTTAATGGATCAACGAAGCCATTAATGTTACGTTGCTCATCTCTGTGAAGGGCTCAGGTGACACTTCATTACTGCTGTTCAACAATCATGATGCACCCTGTCAGCGATGTAATCTGCTTGATTTGTTTTGTAGGTGATTCTCATGTTGACAAAATTCTATGACTTCAACTCCGGCAGAGTCACAGAGAGTTCTTTGTGGAGGTAAGAACTCTTTTCTGCATGTTTGTTTGTGAAAATAAGGTACATGCAGACAAAAAATACTGTAATATAGTTGTTTGGAATCAAAATTCTTAATGTATAAAGTAGATTTTCAGTATAAAGTAGATTTTCAATGTTATTTGTAGTTTAATGTTATCACATCTTTTAAATCTGTCTTGTTCTTAAATAATTTTGTAAAAATGATTGTGTATTTGTAGGAAAGGTCAAAACAAAAAGGTACAAGGTGAAGTGATTTCTTCTACTTTATGGTGTTTAATTGGCTCAGAACAAGAGAAGCAACTTTTTTGACTGATTTAAAAACTCAACAACCAAACAAACATCCATCCATCCATCCATTTTCTTTACCCGCTTATTCCATTTTGGGTCACGGGGGTCGCTGGTGCCCATGTCCAGCAATCACTGTGCGAGGGGCGGGGTACACCCTGGACGGGTCGCAAGTCCATCACAGGGACACATGGAGACAAACGAGACAAACAACCATTCAGTCTCTCACTCACACCTAGGGACAATTTAGAGTTACCACCAAACAAACAAGCAAATTTAAAAAGTATTTAGGCTACATTTAATTAAAAGCACTATAACAAAGACAACACAATAAAACAAGCAAACAAAAATGCAATAAACACAGTTGAAAAGACAAAATGTCAGTGTTTCGTGACGTAATATTCATTTATCGAACGATGCGATTATGTTGTTTGTTTTAGAATTTTAATTTGTCAAGCCATTTTGTGACATGAAGTGAAATGATCATTTGTTTTTTGTTTTGTTTTGCAAAATAAGGTAAATAAATAATGACATCTTTACACAGTTGTTATATAATAATTACCCAGTAAATAAAATAGCATAAAAAATAAAAATAACATATAGATTAAAACAAGAAATCCACAATATACTCAACTTGAATTAGTATCTTCATTGACTCACACGTAAACAAACAAACAAACAAACAAACAAACAAACCAAAAAATACTAATGTTTAACCCAGTGGTTCCCAGCTCTGGTCCTTGAGGAACACCTTCCTGCATGTTTTAGTTGTGTGTCCACTGTCCATGCTCCACCACACCTGGTTTGAATGAGTGGATGATTAAAAGACTTTGGCAGAAATTGAGGAAGTAATTAAATCACTGACTTAGGTACGTTGGAGCAGGGAAACAACTAATGCATGCAGGATGGCGTTCCTCAAGGACCAGTGTTGGGAACCACAGGTTTAACCTTACACATACCAATGTCAATTCCATTTCTTTAGAGTCACTCCTTCAATCCTGCATTTGATTGCTTAAAAATGAAACCAAACAGAGCAGACGCAACAAAATCCCATCTTGTAAACATGCATCAAAGAATATTTTTGATTTGCAAGATAATTAAAAAAAATCACGTTCATTTGTCCAGAAAATTGCTTTAGGACTTGCGACTGCTGCTGTAATTTTCTGCTTGCCTGACATGTCTAATGATACCATTAGCATCCAAACTGTTAAGGAGTTGTTCTGTTCTGCTTTATTCCCAAAAATCTATTTATTCTGACCTGTAATTAAATTCTAGGTCAACTGATTACGGGACCACATATGAAAAACTTAATGAGAAAGTCGGGACCAAAAGCATTCTAAGCTACTTGTATGTGAGTCCAAACAACAAAAGGAAGGTGAGTGTTTATGTGTAATGCAAAGAAATCTACTTGCATTGACCAAACCAATCACTAAACTTTACAGAAGCCTTCCGTTTGCTTCTATTCCAAGCTGTGCACTGAACAAGCACACTTAAATCTCCTGCAGGAAACAACCATGTCACAGTGGGCTGCTATTATTTTTTTCCTGTCTCTTTTCTTGTCTCAGATCATGTTACTAACTGACCCAGAGGTGGAGAGCAGCCTGCTCATTAGCCTTGACGAGGGGGCGTCCTATCAGAAACACAGCTTAGCCTTTGATATCCTCAGCCTGCTTTTTCACCCCGAGCAAGAGGACTGGATCCTGGCTTACAGCCATGACCAAAAGGTAACGCGGAGGTGTCAGATGATGTGAACGAACCAGACTGAAAGATCAGAAAGAAAACCATCTGCATAAGGGCTGGGGTGTTTGGGTTGCTCTGTTGTAGCTGGCTTTGTTGTAGTGCTCATGTTATTGTGGCCATTGTGAGGTTATAAAAATCACATCTATGTGCAACATTAATTAAAGGCCTAGCGTTCTTTGAAGAAATCCTTATTGCTGTTGCCTTTCAGGTCAGTTTTAAAATAAGATCATCTCATGAAGAGAAGGGACAGATTTGCAGACGTTTTGGTCAAACCTTGGAAATGACATTATGTGTTTCAAAACACCAAAGTTCATGCTCAATAATCCATGTATAAAACCCAACAATGTTCAGTCAGCTCATCTGGACGGTTTCTATTTTGTTATTGTAACGTTTCGTCCTTCATCCGAAGGACTTCTTTGATCTGAGGAGCCCACCAAACAAAACTGATTCCCACAACAACAGCATACTCCATAGTGGGGAGAAAAAAAAGAGAGCGATGGCCCCGGAGGCCATCTTAGCACCAGCAAACTGTTTTTTCCACTATGGAGTATGCTGTTTGTGGAAATCAGTTTTATTTGGTGGCTCCTCAGATTGAAGAAGTCCTTTGGATGAAGGACGCAACGTCTCAGCTTAAAAAAGAAACTGTCCAGATGACCTGACTGAACATTGTTGGACATTATGTGTTATTTATGTTTGTGCTTAGCGTATGTGATGAGAATGACTATTAGCTACTACCACAAAACAGTCAGATCAGTATTTGTAAATTTGACCACGTTATAGAGTTGGTTCCAGAAGTAATTGGCAAAGTTTTTTAAAAATATGTTGCACAGTGTACTGCCCTCAAAGTAAGCGTTGAGGATGACTTTCAACTACTACCAAAATTTTTTTTAGCTCAATATCTGTATTACTAGCTGAGTTATAGTCATTTTTGTACTTCCTGATAGTGGATATTTAATGTCACTTGTGCATGCACATTTAATTATTACTTTCAGAAAGTATCCGTAAATTTATTTAGCTAGCTCATAAGATATTTTACTAACAGACAAACACAGCTGATTTAAATAGTTCATGGCAAACTTTTAATCAAAGATGCTGTGCATCACTTAGTGCTTTCATTGTGTTTTGTGAATGACTCTTAGCTACATGCACATCATATCATCGCTCAGTATCTGTAAAACTGAGCAGTTTATAGCCATTTAGTTGTGGCAGCCATCTTGAATGGACTTCCTTCTAAATGTTAGCGTTGTAGATACACATTGATTGATTACTTTCTGAAAGTTTAATTTCAGTTTGTCCAATGGTGCATGAGCTATGCAAGCAAACAAACTCACACATGCATGCACAAGCAAAAACATTATTGCAGCTTCGACCTCAGTGGCGGGTGATAAGCATAGACTGCTACTGCTGAAAACATTGATTTTCAAGAACACAACTTCCATCCAGGACGCAAACACAAACACCTGCCTCCTAAACCGAGGCTGCAGTTGCCAAAAACAAAGACACTGAATCACTTGCACCCTTAAATAAACCCAAAAGGCCATTCTGCAAAGATCTTTAAGTTGGACGTGTCGTATAGATAGAACAGGGGGAAGATAACAAGGGAGGTGCACCTCAAACAAGCCTTGAACTCACACACACACACACAAAGTCACACAACTGTGAACGTAAACAGCCACCGTTCATTACGGCGTGTGAGAACCAGGCTGTCTGCTCTGTTCAACAGCCCAAACATCAAGCTCAACCTTCCTCCGCCTGCTTCTGGCCTGAGAAGTGAGATAAATGGTGCAGAGGGGAAGCCGAAAGCCCAGCCGAAAGTCATCAGAGGGTCAAAATAAAGATGCTTAAGAGACATGTGCCTGCAAGTCATTCTGTGTGTCTTTGTAAAGCTATAATTCAGCAGTTCTTTTTCATTTATTTGCTCCCAAAAGGAACTGACCCGCTCTAAATGAATCTCAGCTCGACTTCATTTTACATTTATTGATTATCTGTCATGTTGTTTAAAAGTTGCCAGTTTCGAAATGAGTCAGAGCGATGCTGCTGATCCTCGTAAAGCTGAGAGATTTAAGGTACTTGCTGCTCAATCACCGAGGCAAGATGACATGACTTTAAAGGACTTGAACATCAGTAGAAATGGTTCATGGAGAAAAAACGACAGTGACAGTAAAATTAGGGCTTTTGTGATGTCGTTTATGTTAAAAATTCTGCTCAGTTACTCCTGGAACAAAAAGTATTTCATCTCTTATCTGTTTAATGTTTTTAAGGTAACCCAGAATCAGAGTATTCCTGTATGTTACAAGAACTAATTGATTTTCTCTTATTCACTACATTTTCGTCTGCTAACAGAAAAACAACAACAACATGACGAAGTTAGAAAATCAGAGCTGCTCGGCAACACGGCTGGGTATAGGTCTGATGAAAATTTGATTTTGCGATGTAAAAAATATAATAGTATACGTATTTGATGAATGCATTCTTCTTTTTCAGCTGTATGTCTCAGTTGAGTTTGGGAGGAGATGGCAGCTTGTACAAGACAACGTTGTTCCCAACAGATTCTACTGGTGAGATAATCAGCTGCTTATTTGGCTGGAAAACATTTTGGTTTCATTTTTGCTTTTTACTTGGAAAAATGTGAATCAAACTGTGTTTCGATGAATTCTGCTCACACCAGTCGTGCATGGTGTAAACAAACAAATCAGTAACTCGTTTACAGAAAAAAAGCAATAATTACAAAGCCAAATTGGATTGTATTAACTAAGTTGATGGTGATCTGTGGCATCTTGGTGATCAGTGCCATGGTCTTGTGATTCTGAGGCAGCACGTTCGAGTCCAGGTTGCATCAGGACATCTGGTGTAAAACTATTGACAAATATTTTATGTGTCAATCACTGTGTGGACCCGTGCAGAAGAGAGCGACTGACAGAAAAGCAACAGCTAGATTGATGGTTAAAGTTCAAAGTGTACTTTTAGGCCAAATACACTTAAATCCATGTACTGGAAGTATTTTAGTAAAGGCAAAAAAAAAAAAAGGCATATTGCTTAAAACATGTTGAGTTCTATTAAACAGAAATCTAAAATTAATCATGAAAAATTACATTTTCTTTTAAAATACAGTACTGTTTTTTTCTTTATTTTTTTCTTTTCCCCCTTTTTTCATTTTTCCCCTTTTTCCTTTTTTCTTTATTTAATTTTTTTCTTATTTTCTTTTTTTTTTCCCTTTTTTTCTTTTCTCCTTTTTTTTTTCTTCTTCTTCTTCTTCTTCTTCTTTTTTTTAATTTTTTTACCGTGCTAATGTTTGGAGTCATCAAGCTCTAACTGACCTTACTGAAGTTTCAAAGCTAAACCAAAACTGAGTTGTTTTGAAGTTAAAACAAGAAAAACAGAAGCGAAAAGGACCAAAACATATGCTAAAGGATAGAAAGAGCAGCATAGCAGCTGAAAGGAGAAAATCAGTATCTCACGATAAAATAAATATATCTTATAGCAATAAAAGTGTGGCAGTTAAAAACTAGGAGCTGAACAGTAGCTAAATGCTTAAATTAGAAAGTAGCTGATGGCTTAAAAGGAGTAGAATAGTAGCTAAAAGGGGAAAAGCAGCAAAACAGTAGGTGAAAGGAATATAACATCAGCTAAAAGAAGCAGAATGGAAGCAAAGAGCTAAATGGTAGAGAGGTACTGAAGCTAATTTCAAAGAGAAAAATATTATTGATGGACATGAAAAGATCTCAGTGTGTTATATGGAGATTTTTTTAAATTAAAGAAAAATATTTTGACGTATAAAATATACAAAAGTCACAACAAACTGTTCACTGACGACCTGAACATTTTGATATATGAATGATTGACAATGCACAAAGCACAATTAATAATTAGATAGCCTAAAAGGGATGGGAGAAACTGTGAAAAAACAAGTTGTTTGAGTTTATGACTCAATATTTACACAGTTGGGGTTTTATTTCCTTCTTATAAAAAACATTTTTGTGCGGCCATTGTTCAGTTTACTCACTGAAATAAATTGTTAAATATTGTCTCCTAAAACCCTGTAAATGTGCAGATACAACAATAAATTGAGTCATTTTCAAACCGAATTATTATTTTTCTCACAATTTTCTGTAATTTTCACTGTATTAGAAAGTAATGGCAAAATATTTAGAGCACGTCCTTTAAATAGTTTTGACAGTTTTTATGTGAGCTGATTAATTATAGTCCAAGATAGCAAACAGATGTTTCACTGCTTTGATAGTTTTTGGTGAGAATTTTTATTTTAACTCCTATTTTTTACTACTATCTTTGTGAAAAACAAACCATAGTTTAATCAGGAAAGTTGAACTAACTAAGATAAATACATCAGGTTTTTGAAACTAAGCGTTTTGGATTCTCATGTATCGATAAATGCAATTTCAAAAAAAAAAGAAAAAGGTTTTATTTTTATGTCTCATTCTGCAAAATTATTATTATTTTTTTTTCAAATGTACAATTGGCTTGAAATATGTGCACAGCACAAACACAAGCATGAAATAATTTTTCAAAATTAAAAGCTGTTAATAATTAGTTTTTGTGTTTAATATCTGGCACCCTTAAACTGGATAATATATGTTGTTTGCATTGGGGAAACATTTTGTCAGACATTAACACATTATTTCCACAGTTCGAAAGAAAAAAGAATAAAAAACAAACAAACAAAAAAAAACTATACAGTAGTCACATATTAAAAGCTTTGTTTTATTGATTAAACACTTTTTTTCATTATTAAGACAAATATGTTAAAGATAGTTCTTTATCTTTAATATTATCACACAGTAATTCTGGTAAATTACTGTGAGTTTAAGTCAAAGACTAAATACAGTCATTGTTGTCTAAATGGAAAGGCAAAAACCTGTAGCGTAAATAATTAAAAACCATTCATATGCAGTGAAGCACTTTCTTTTGTCTTTATTCAGACACAACATCCACAATTTGCATAAGATTAAAAAAAAAGTTCACCAAAAATCATCACACTTTTTCACTGTGCACGTCTAAAAATATCTAAGTAACATGGTTTACAAAAACATGTTAACAGACGCCTTGTCTGTGCAGACGGAGCAGCTGTTAGTTATGGGAGAACAGCGAAACATCGGCGGGGCTTTATTTAAGAGCACGGGCTGCTGTTCCCTGATAGAATTGGATGAAGTATTTGACAGAAAGTCCATTAAAAGAGATGGAGCTGTGAGGCAATTACAGAGTGCTGAGGGAAGCAGGATGGGAGCTTTTTATATTACTGTTCAGACACAGTATGGAAAATGAGAGAAACCCATCTTCTGTCACAACAGCTGCTATTAATACAACAAGTGGTCACTTCTGTCGCTCACCACTTAGCAGCTACAATGAAGAATCTCAAGTTCAAGTAAATGAATTGGCTACGTACATCCTAGGGAGGAAAAAAGAAAACAGGCAGCGCAGGTCAGACGTCCTTCAGACCAACGTTTTCCCATCAGGTTATTGTATTATTCCTTATGAAAGAACAGTAAAGAACACCGTAACGTTCATGCTCAATAATCCAGGTATAAAATCCAACACATTAAACAACACAACGGCATCTTGCATTCATGTAAAAAAGTCCTCGTTTTTGTTGCAACTATCACTGAGCTCCAATTTATTTAAAAGTAGATGTATTGAACTATCAAATCCACCCTTATATTTATACTCTGAGAGAACCCGTCTTTCTTCCAAGACTAAAATGTCTGGGTCTGCATCTGCACTGTGTCTCTTAGAAAGAACATGCCAGATGTTTTTGATAACAAACAAGGAACATAAAAACAAAACAAACAAAAAAACTTATCTTGTGCAAAACCTCTTACTGTGTGTAAAATAAACACCATTGTCAGCATGTATTAAAGTATCACAATACTGATACAAAAAAAAGTTGATCATTCTTAATATTGAACATGATTGGGCCAAATATTGAGCCCTGTGGGACACCAATTGATAAACATAAAAAAAAACTGTATTTTAAATCTCCAACTTTATCAATAAGAAAGCAAAACAAAAGGTAAACTTTATAGAAAATATGATTCTGAGTTGTTTTTCTAGGAGAATACTTTGAGTACGTCTGTCAAATGCTTTCACAAAACAAACAAACACAAAACATTACCACAACAATTCCACCTTACCCAGTAAAATTTTATTTGTAAAGTTTTCAATAGTATAACAAGGCAGTTATTTTTTAAATAAACTGATCAGAACTAAAGACAAAGTACATGAGAACCAGTGGGGAAAAAATAATCCATGCATCACAAGAAAAATAAAGACATTTTACAAAGCAAGTATTCATTTAGTTCTACATAAAACTCATGTACATTTCTCTGATGTTGACTTTTATTTCTTTTTAAGTTTTAGCTATCAAAAATACTTAATTGCACACCAAAAGTCAATAAAAATAATAAAAATTATATGTTTGGATGGTTACAGACTCCTGTTTTTGATGCTCAATAAAATATTAAACTGAATGAGCAACACTTTTTGTCAGAAGAGTACTTGGTTTATTAAGGACATGTTTTCATTTTTTTCATTCTGGCTCATCCTCAAGTTCTTTTTTGCAGCAAGCCACTAGACTGAGTCAAGGTTTTTATACAACCTACTGCAGATGGCAGACCTTGCTTTTCATAACCTCTTTGTGCTTGCACAGCTCACATCAAACAGCAGTTTATTTCCTGATTATTATTTTTTTAATTTTTATTATGTGTATTTGCTTTCCAAAACCAGTCTCACCATAGCAGCATAACGTTACTGTAACCTGGTCCATTGAGCCCCACCTTTAAATTTTGTGAAACGAGAGACAAAACCCTGCTTCATCTTTTCAAAACACCATGTTTTTTTTTCAATCAAATATTAGTGTGTGCTTATTTCATAGCATTCCACAAATATAAATCTTCTTTTAATCGTTTAAAATCCCCTAACCATAAACTTATTTCTAAACTTATGCAAGAAATGTTATTAATTAAATCTTGCAACGGCATAAATCTTACCAAACAGCCGTTATAAATAAATTTAAAAACCATATCTCCTAATGAAAAAGTTTGCGTCTCTACCATCTCCGTCTTCTCCAAATATGATACTGAAAAAAAATACTGCGTTCGATTTAACAATTATTTAATCTCATGTTTCAGCTTTCTAACATAGAGATTATTTTTGAAGACATAAAAATAATAAAATAAAATGAAAAAATGCAGAAATAAAATTACATTTTGAGCTAACTTTATTAGAAACAACAGGGTTTTCTTTTCAAGCTGCACACGACAAAATGCTATAAATATGCCAGTCTGAAAAAAATTACAAATACACAATAAAAGTCAATGTCCATCTCGATGTTTCAGGTCAAGACTGGGTTTGGACAAAGAGCAAGGCATGATTCATCTGGAAATCAGCGTCTCAGATAAACGTGAGTCACCACATTGAGAGATTTCACATATAAATATTTGCTGTAATCAATGAAATTAAATTTAATATTGTGATATTAGTATTTATTTTAATCACCCACCCCTTCTCCCTGAATTGGCTGTTTGAAGATTCTTGATTTCATTAAGCCTGTTAAATTTTGTGAGGCGACTTGGCCCTTTCCTTGGCCAAGATATCAGAAAGAATGGGGAACTCGGATGTTAAAGTCTCATCCCTGGGGAGGCGTTTTCCTTTGGTGGACTCTAACACACCGAGACACCTCATTCTACTTAATCTATTAGAAAAAATCAAGATGATCCTCCAATATCTTACCTCACTTTTATCAAATGTAGTCTAAAACCTTGATGGTATAGTAGGGTTGCTTCTTTCTGTCTTCTCTGTATTTTTAGCACTTCTTTCTTGCTTACCCACAGGGTCACAGTACATAACTTGCAAACTTCAGAACTGCTCTGACGGAAACAAGGGCAAGCCTTTCCCTGGATTTATAATCCCTAATTCCCTCGTGGTACAGGATGAATACGTTTTCATCCAGGTGGGTTTTTATTGCAAGGTCTGGCTTCATTAAAAGACGATTAAAAGCTGTAAAGTCAGTGCATTCAGCCGCAGCTTAATGTACAGTCATGTTTTTCATTAACTGAAAGGGGCCATTATGCTGGGGAAGAAAGGGATGAAAATAAAGCCTCTGCTTTTTATGACTACAACTACACCTCACCACAATTCACAGCATCCTAATGAGAGACAAACTCGAGGTTTTTATGGGAGTTAGAGTTATTTAACACAAGCTACTAATCGGTGAATCTAAATGTTTATCAGTTTTTACCAAAATAGCTTTCTTTCCCCTTCTATTTCTCTTGAAGGTGTCTATTGGAGGACAGATTGTTCATTATGTTTCTTATAAAAGGAACGCTTTCTATCCGATGAAACTTCCCAAATACACGGTGCCTAAGGTGAGATAACTGACATTCATTTTTGTGGCTGTTTTTATGTATATTTTAAGGTAACTTTGGGTTTCTTTACAGTTTTTTATTTGTCTCAGATTTGTTCTTCACATCAATAGGCTCCTGAAAAATGGTTCACATTTGCATGATTATAACCATGTATTGAGAACCTATGTAGTGTTTCGATTTTCCTCTCATCTTTAAAAACAGATTAAAACTATAAAGTTGCTTGTCTATATTTCAGAAAAGGATGCTCTATTTCATCAAACTGTTCTTGTTTCAATTTATCAGTCTTGGAAGGGTTAGTGTTTTGAAAGTCACTGCATGACAACAGGAGGACTTTAATGTCTGCAGTGTTGTTTCAATAAATCTGTCCAAGTGTCTAACCATCCATCCAGCCATGGATATTGTAGAAATCACCTTGTGAAGGACACATATCACCTACTGTGTTTGACTCTAGATTAAAAACAATCAGTAAAATTAAATAGAGCCCATATATTCAATTTTTTGTTTGCATTATGCTTGAGATTTAATTGCTAAGATGACTTACAATGATGCAAAGAAGTAAAAAAAAGGGCAGCTATTTGAAAGCTATGCAAATTCATACACAATAAAAAGTGCTGGGTCTTTATGGCAATGCAACTGCTGGGCTAAAGTTGTTAGGTTATTGATTGTGTTGGTTTAATCAAATCTTAAACCAGCCACTAGGGAGCACAAGCCAATATATCTCTTGTATTGGTCCTAAACCCAGATAAATGGTGAGGGTTGTGTCAGGAAGGGCATCTGACATAAAAAATCCAAAAATAATATGTGCATTCATCTACACGACACCATACTGGATTGGTCAAGGCTGGGTTACCAACAACCAGCAACAAAGTTGTTGACAAACAGGGTGCTGGCGGAAATTGTGCTTCTGTTAGATGAAGACCACAAAGAGGGAAGCATGTCAGGAGACAGAGGGAGAAAGTTAAAAAGTGTAGGACTGAGGATAGCAGCTATAAATGTGGGGAGAATGACAGGCAAAGGTAGAGAGCTGGCTGGCATGATGCAGAGAAGGAAGGTAGATGTTTTATGTGTTCAAGAGACCTAGTGGAAGGGCAGCAAGGCTCACATCATTGGAGCAGGGTTTAAACTGTTTAATCATGGTGTGGATAGAAAGAGAAATGGAGTAGGGGTGGTCCTAAAGGAGGAGTTGGCAAATAATGTAGTAGAGGTGAAAAGAGTGTTAGATAGGGTGATATGTCTGAAGGTAGAAGAAGAAGGTCTGATGCTAAATGTTGTCAGTGGTTATGCTCCACAGGTTGGATGGGATTTAGAGGAGAAAGATAAATTTAGGAAGGATTTGGATGAAGTGATAGAGAGTATTCACAGGAAGGACAGAGTGGTGATCACAGTAGACATGAATGAACAGGTTGGTGAAGGAGACAGAGGGGATGAGGAAGTGATGGGTAGGTTTTGTGTCAAGGAAAGTAACCAGGAAGGACAGATAGTGGTGGATTTTCCCAAGAGAATGGAAATGGCTGTAGTCAACACTTATTTCCAAAAGAGAGAGGAACATAGAGAGACCTATAAGGGTGGAGGAAGAAGTACTCAGGTCGATTACATTCTGTGTAGCAGAGAAAACCTGAGGTTGATTGGGGACTGTGAGGTTGTGACAAGGAAGAGCATAGCCAGACAGCATTAGATGGTTGTGTGTAGAATTAATGTTGTTGTGAAGAAGAAAAAATTAATAAAATCAGAGAAGAAGACCAAATGGTGGAAGCTGAGGAAAGAAGAATGGTGTGAGAAATTCAGAGAGGTGCTGTTAAAGACTGTGGGTAGTAAGAAAGAGCTTCCAAATGACTGGGCTACTACAGCAACAGTAATTAGAGAGACAGATAAGAAGGTAATTAGTTTGTCAACTGGACTGAATATAGATGATATGGAAACCTGGTGGTGGAATAGTGAATTGTGGGACACTATTCAAAGAAAGATTGTTAGTCAAGAAGAAATATGACAGTGAGAGGACTGAAGAGAGGAGACAGGAATATAAGGATGCAATGCAAAGCAAAGAGGGAGGTGGCAAAGGCAAAACAGAAGGCATGCGATGAGTTGTATGGGAGGCTGGACACTAAAAAGGGCGAGACGGACTTGTACCAATTGGTGAGACAGAGGGATCAGGCTGGAAAGGATGTGCAGCAGGTTAGGTTTGCTAAAGGTAGGAATAGTAATGTTCTAACAAGTGAGGAGATTATGATAGGAAGATGGATAGAGTAATTTGAGGAGCTAATGAATGAAGAGAATGAAAGCCAAAGAAGGGTAGAGGTCACAAAAACTGTGGACCAGGAAGTGGGAAAGATTAGTGAGGGTGAAGTTCGGAACGCTCTGAAAAGAATGAAGAAGGGGAAGGCAGTAGAACCTGATGACATGCCAGTGGAAGTTTGGAAATGTCTTGGAGAGATGACAGTGAAGTTATTGATTCCAATATTCAATGGCATATTTGAGGGTGAGAAAATGTCTGAGGAATTGTGCTGGTGCCCAATTTTAAGAACAAGGGTGATGTACAGAGTTGCAGCAACTACAGGGAAATTAAGTTGATGAGTCACACAATGAAGATCTAGGAGAGAGTTGTGGAAGCTAGACTTAGACGAGAGGTGACTGTGAGCAGCAGTCTGTTTCATGCTGAGATAGAGCACCACAGATGCCATCTTTGCTTTGATGATGCTGATGGAGAAGTACAGAGAGGGTCAGAAAGAACTTCATTACGTATTTATCGGTTTAGAAAAAGCATATGGCAGGGTGCCAAAGGAGGAGGTGTGGTATTGCATCAGGAAATCTAGGGATGCAGAGAAGTATGTTAGACTAGTACAGGACATGTATGAGGACAGCAGGACAGGACATGTATGAGGACAGCAGGACAGTGGTGAGATGTGCTGTAGAAGTGACAGATAGCTTCAAGGTGGAGGTGGGACTGCATTATGGATCAGCCCTGAGACCCTTTTTGCTTTGCTCTGGTGATGGACCGACTAACAGTTGAGATCAGGCAGGAATTTAGTAAGGTGACAGTATGCAGTTGAAAGAAGAGGAATGAAAGTCATAGTAAGACAGAGTACATGTGTGTGAATGAAAGGAAGACAGGTGGAACAGTGAGGCTACAAGGAGCAGAAGTCACAAAGGTGCAGGACTTCAAATACTTAGGGTTCACTGTCCAGGAGACTGGGGAGTGTGATAAAGAAGTGAAAAAGAGAGTCAAGGCAGGATGGAGTGGATGAAGAAAATATTCTGGAGTGATTTGTGACTAGAGTGGCAGCAAAGATCAAAGGCAAAGTTTACAAGACCAGCTATGTTGTATGGTCTGGAGACAGTGGCACCGACTGGATGTGGAAGAAATGAAGATGTTGAGATTTTCCTTATGACAAGAATGGATAAGATTAATGAGATCATCAGAGGTACAGCACAGGTTGAACAACTGGGAGATGAAGTTAAAGAGGCCAGACTGAGAATGTTTGGACATGTCCAGAGGAGGGACAGTGGGTATATTAGCAGAAGGATGTTAGAGATGCAACTGCCAGGAAAAAAAAAGATGAAGGCCAAAGAGGTGTTTTATGGATGCAATTAGAGAATATATGGAGGGAGCTGGAGTGAGGATATAGGATTCAGAGGTCAGAGTGAGCTGGAGAAGGATGACTCACTGTGGCGACCCCTGAAGAAGGAAAAGCCAAAAGAAGAAGAAAAATAATGTTTAATTAAATCTTTTTTTTTTTTCATTTAGCCTTTATTTATCCAGGTTAGTCTCATTGAGCCACGAGAACTCATTTTCAAGAGAGACCTGTTTAGGGAGCACATGGTGGGGGTTAAGGACCTTGCTCATGGGCCCAGAGTGGGGCGAATGAGGGTGGGGGCAAGTGTGGGTGTTTCACCCACCCCACCCACAATTTTGATGTTGTCGGGGCCGGGGCGTGAACCGGCGATCTTCGGATCACAGGCCCACCTCTCTAACCTCTGCGCCACTTAGTTTTAAAGAGTGACCCAGAGGTTGGATCTGAGATATGCTATGTCATTCTTCACATTCTGCCATTTTAGGCTGGAGGTTGACCAAAACAAACCTGATTAAATCACAAATCTAAGAAAGTAAATACAGTTTGTAAGAATCCAACAATTTTCAGTCAGGTCATCTGGACAGTTTCTTGTTTTTGCTGAAACATTTCACCTTCTATTCGGAAGGCTTCATCAGTCAAGGAAACACACAACACAAAACTGATTCTTCCCCCAAACAGCTTACTCCAAAGTGGAACAAATCAGTTATGTTGGTGCTAAGATGGTGTCTTTGGCACACCCCCTCCTCTTGTGCTGGCCCTCTTCCTCGTCGACAGTCATGTCAAACTGGTTTAAAACCAAAAAAAGTCCATGCTCCATAATCCAGGTATACAATCCAACAATTTTCCAAAAAAAAGTCTTTTTGGTTTTGAACCAGTTTGACATGACTGTCGACAAGGAAGAGGGCCAGCACAAAAGGAGGGGACGTGCCAAAAACACCTTCTTAGCACCAACATAACTGGTTTGTTCCACTTTGGAGTAAGCTGTTGGGGGAAGAATCAGTTTTGTTGTGCATTTCCTTGACTGATGAAGCCTTCCGGATCGAAGGTGAAAGGTTTCAGCAAAAAAAAAAAAGAAACTGTCCAGATGACCTGACTGAAACTTGTTGGATTGTATACCTGGATTATTGAGCATGGACTATTTTTTTTTTTTTCAGTTTGTAAGAATATGTTCAACCTTTGTTATTACTAAAGTTTGCACTAGACATTAAAATTTGTTTTCCTAAGATATTTTTTGTTGGTGCTATAGGTTAGTGGTTCTTAAACTGGGGTTCCTGGACCCCCGGGGATACGCGAACCAGTGCTTGGGGGTTCCGCAAAAAATATAATTCAATTCTATTTCCAATTCAGTTCATTTATACAGTGCCAAGTCACAACAGAAGTCATCTGAGGGCACTGAACAGAAACATTAATATATAAAAATAAGTTAACAGAAATATACACACACACACACACACACACACACACACACACACACACACACACACACACACACACACACACACACATATATATATATATATATATATATATATATATATATATA